TGATTCTTCCCGTATACTTTTGACCGCCAACTACTTTCTCGTTAACTCGAATGTTAATAAGTCAAAGCCCCATCTGATAAATCCTGATTACTTTAATTCTGAGTTTATTAGTTTCTCATCATTGTATCATATCAAAATATCTTTCGATTTTATATGGTTTTGCATTATTTGACATTACCTGACTTCGTGGTGGTCTATATAGTCTTAAAAATTCCCATGTTGTGAATTAGACCAACATATATAAGCGAACAATATTGTTTTCAATTAGATCCTCATAAGGCTTTACCCCAATATACAGTAATGTTCATATGCATATACGAAATTATTAAACCAATCAAGACGGTTTATGGGTCAATGGTAACAGTGGAATAGACTACGTAAATAAACATGATAAGTAAAGAGTACAAATTGGTAGTGTAATGACAGGTTACTAGTTGTGATAAGAATAAACAGAAATAGGTCATTCAAAGCTATTTATCGTATTCCTACTAGTTTTCCTTATGTAGTTTGATCTTGTCTTTTACATGTAGCAGTAGCTATAGAAATCCAAGCTAACAATCCAACTCATAGTATTCATAAGAAATTTGTAACATCTCTCCCTTGACACCAAATTAGCCTTATTAAGACTTATTTATTATTACTTCCCATACTCGTTTGTTTTTCTGCACCTCCTTCCACTCTTTTTCCCAAATACACGCTTCGTCGTTCAATCATCTAAACAGTTCTCATTACGTAGTCTTAGTATTTGTGGATGCTATTTCAGCATTTTTATTTTTTCAAGCCATTGACCTATTTCCCATTATGAAACATGAATTTAAGAGTTTGTTATTCTTATCACAACTAGTAACCTGTCACTACACTACCAATTTGTACTCTTTACTTATCATGTTTATTTACGTAGTCTATTCCACTGTTACCATTGACTCATAAACCGTCTTGATTGGTTTAATAATTTCGTATATGCATATGAACACTACTGTATATTGGGGTAAAGCCTTATGCGGATCTAATTGAAAACAATATTGTTCGCTTATATATGTTAGTCTATATAATCGTTTTGTTATCAGCGTAGCTGACACCAATCAAAAGAGTATTATCAATTATTTCCTAAGCCTAAGGTATGTCGCCAACCGACAACTTAATCTTTAATATAGTAGTTAGAATGACCGAATCGGACGGTTACTCCTAGAAATACTTCTTAATCGTACGATGACAAGAAAATTGATTTAAGGATGTTAAAAATGAAAATTGCCTCTACTTTATTTGAGACTATGCGATTGGCAAAAAAAGTTGTTGAAAATTCCGTCCTTAATCATTTATATCAAAGAACGTAACTGATAGAAATATCGAACAGATCAGTCAGTCAGTAACAACGTAGAACTTCGTACGTACGTACATCAGTTCGAGTTGCCACACCACATTAGCACAGAGATGCAGTTGTCGATTCAAATCCCGTAGTGGTAGAGGTAATAAGAGTATAAGCAGTAATCGGGAAGATTAGTGTTTGGAGATGTTATTTAAAGAGTATAATCCTGTGAAATAAATTTGGAAAGAGGAAAAAAGGGACATGAAGAATTCAGAAGATTAGAATTTGGGAGAACACAGAGAGTGGATGCACCTGCGCCATTGCAAACGATTTTGAGCCATGTCATTCAGGGTCTCTAACCATCGGTTGCTATCATCTCGCGGTCCCCAACCAGGTAGTCTACACCTACCAACATGACTCAGTCCACTTGTCAGTGACTTCATGGACTTGTGCCATGTTTTGGTTTGGCCACCCCTAGCTTTCTTCCAACCTACTCCTATACCACTGAACATAGCACGTCGAGGCAGTCGGTCGTTGGGCATACGTAACACGTGTCCCAGCCATCTCAACTGATGAAGTTTCACTACTTCATCAATTGATTTGCCATCCTTACCTAGTACCCGTTTCCTAACAACTGTGTTACTTACTCGATGGTCCCATGATATACGAGCAATGTTTCGAAGACACCTATGATCAAATACTAGTAGCCTACGGATATCCTCTACTCTTACCGGCCATGTTTCACTGCCATAAAGTAGGACGGAACGAACTGCTACGCAGTAAACACGTCCTTTGGTTGATAGACGGATATCTCGCCTACGCCATAAATGGCGCAAGTTGGCAAAAGCTAGTCGAGCTTTCTGTATCCGTGCTGAGATTTCGTCACACACTAAACCACAAGGGCTGATGAGACTTCCAAGATAAGTGAAGCGGTCGACACACTCAACTACTTCACTCCCTACCACTAGTTCGGGTGTCGATGTAACCCAATCCTGAAGCAACATTTTGCATTTCGAGGGAGAGAATCGCATCCCGAACATGCTTGCATTGTTGCTTAGAGTGGTCAGAAGACTGCATTTTGTCAGCGTCTTCACCAAATAAAACTATGTCATCGGCATATTCTAAGTCAACAAGTGAACCTCCCGGTAGAAGTTCAACCCCTGGAAATTTAAATGAGAGTGTTATCTCTAAAAGTACGTCGACCACAAAGTTGAACAAGAATGGGGAGAGTGGACAGCCCTGACGAACACCACTTGAGGTAATCAATTCTGATGACAGTTCGCCATAAGCTCTCACTCTACCAGTTGTGTTCGAGTAGAGAGCCTTTATAAGGTTAATGTACTTCTTTGGTACTCCTTTCAGTGACAAACACTGCCATAGAACCTCACGATCAACAGAGTCGAATGCCGCCTTAAGGTCGAGAAATACTACCATTGTGGGGCGTCTGAATGTGTCTGTGTTCTAGAACCTGACGTAGTGTGAATATCTGATCTATACAACCACGTCCAGGTCGAAAACCGGCCTGGTTTTCTTTAATATGCTCTTCACGAGCTTTGATTAGGCGTCGAAGTATTATTGAAGCTAATATTTTAGACACTATATTGGTCAAACTGATTCCTCTGTGATTGTCACAAGAGGACTTTTGTCCTTTCTTATAGATTGGCACAATCAGTGATTGAGACCAGTCAGATGGGATTACGTCCAGTTCCCAAATTCTACCTAAGACCTCGGTTAATCTCATTGCTAATACTGGACCACCATCCTTAAAAATCTCAGGAGTAAACCTGTCAGGGCCTGCTGCTCTTCCTCGTTTCAGATTTCCTGATAGACCGAAAACAGTAAAAATCAAGATTAGTATTTAAGTAGAACTACACCATATACACTTTAGGTAAAAGAGTTGGGAGAAGTTTCAAACTCACCGACATACCAAGTTATTATGTCACTCGAATATAGTAATAATATCTAGTTAGGAGTTATATCGTATTGAGCAATTTAAAGTTAGGAATGATACTTAACCTGATTATTTTCCAACTTGTGTATTATAGATACATATCTCGTTAGCCGACCTGGGCTACTTCAGCTCGAGGTGCAGCTTTGGGGTCGTTTTGAAATTTTTGTGATGACAAATGAACGGTAAACTAAAAATTTTACTTTACTGAACATATTGGTGTTGCAGTGAAATGATAATCCCTCACTCGAGCAATCGGGTGTCAGAATGACTGATCTGTAAAATTAGTTTCTGAGTCAAAAAACGCTTCTTAGTGTGCACAACCGTTAACTAGAGGTAAACATTGTACCAACCCATTAAGTTCAAACATGGTTTAATCCCTCAAGATCACGTTAGTGTTAAGATTGCATGCTCTTATCGAATCTATCACAACTCAGTTGAACAATTTCATTTTTTAACAAATGAGTTGAGTGGAAGTGACATAAATATGGGGAATCCGCATATCCGTTTACTTTTTATTTGCGAATATTTATTAGAGGATTTAATAGTGTTAAATCCCCTCACTCTTAAACATATCTGATTGTCAGTTGTACATGTATTAGTAGTTAGTTATATCCTTTCTACCAACTAATTCTTTCCTCCTGTACTATATCATTATATGCTATCTTTCTTTTATACATTACCACCATTGAATTAATTCTATGAATTCGGTGTTCATCTTGTTGTGTCAATGAGGTATGACAACTGGGACCGATGCATATATGTGCTTGATGCTAACTGATCAGAACCTACGTAAACCTGAAGCGTGTGAGTATTATAGCATATCTGCAACATCGCTGTTCCTACGACGAAATATGCGTAAGTCTAATGTCTGAAATGTAGCACCACTGTGTCTAGCACTTGATAAAAGACTTATCATGTTTAGGTGAATTTATATCAACCTGAGGCCAAGATACCTAGTTTTGTCTGTGAAACATATTTTATGAGGGTCAATTACATTTTTAAATTGGTAACGTTCGGCTACAGATGTCTACGAAGGATTGGTCGCACGTAGTAGAATGTTGGGATTAAGCTGAGTGTACTGAGTAAAATTAGCTAGTCGGTTGAGACTTTGTACCAACTAAGTCAGTTGAAATGCCTTATTACTGGCTACTCTGATATCTTTCATTTCATGTGGAGTGATAAATTCATTTCTTACCTTCCTGTTTCATTGGTTCTTTTTGAGATAGAAATTTTTGATGTTTGGTTCATTATCACAACGAATACTACCATAAATTCGACTTCCTCGTGTGCTAGAGAGAAATATGACCGAGTGACTCGATGCATGTACTGACTAGATCTTACACTAATGATGATACTTAACTATAATGATTAAATCTGTAGAACTAATGGATGACAGGTAGGGTTTTATTTCAAAGTCATATACGAACAAATTCCGTCCTTAACTCGTGGTTCAAATGGCTAGATTCAATTAACATTTTGGGAAGTCCGAACTCAGACTTCTGTGCTTTGTTAAGACATCGTCTGATTCTAGGCGATGTTATTTTTGAAACTATGCTAGTTGGGCTGATTTTTCTGTTATTAGCACACGAGAATTAATAATCGAAGACTGCTGAACAGAACTAGTGCTTGCTTTCATATTTCAGTTAGTAATTACGTAAATCTAAGCAATGATCTCAGGCCGTCGTCATATTTGAGAAATAACCAAACGCGATTTCATAAATTGCCATATTAAAAATAGCAGTGTACGTAAACTACGTCTTAGATAATATGTTATTCATACATTATGTTATAAGAACTGGTACACTTCAGAAATTAATATTATTTACAGGTACATAAATCAAGTGCTCAAATACAGTACTAAGTCAATCAACAGGTTCATCGTTTCGCCACGATTCCTCAACAATGGCTCGGACTTGTGTTTCATACTGGCGTTTGTCTTCTTCAAATAATTCTGCTGCTGTCGTATTTGCAGGAGAGTTGGGGTTCGGGTCCCCCAAAAGTGATTGTAATGATGTTAATATTGCTCCAATGTTATATGACGGAGACCACATGTTTTGCAATATATCCAAACATATACTACCATCACTATACACATTAGGATGAAACATTTTGGAAACGAATCGCACAATCGGTGGGACGTTAGGATAGTTCTCGGTGAACTCCATTGTTAGCCGAAATATACCGTCTGCGAATGCTGTGCCATCCGGCCCCAAAATAATTGCATGCCATTTCATTATGTTGTCATCAAGTGGAACAGCGTATACACCAGGAGGGGGATCAAGTTGAATTTTCTTGAAATCGTTCATAAGACGGCGTCTAGCCTTTGTAGACATTCTTACTCAGATGACCAGGTATTAAGACTAAAGAAAGCGAGAATTTTAGGAGTCTTTGTTTGAACGCAATATCACTATGTATTATGAATATCCGTTTTTAATGCAAAGATACACATTCGTTACTTTGAACAGAGCGGGAAATCGACCAGGCCCTTCCCCCTAGAATTTGGTCCTAAAACAGTGGGTTGGAATTTCATATCAGAAACTTACGAACGACAGCATGTTTTACTGTTAATGTACACTATTTTGAACAGAAAAGACATCTGCTGTACTGAGTGTTATTTTTGATTACTTATGCTATATAACCTTTTGGAAAATAAAAGCCATCGGGAGGATAAATCTTGTCAAACGAACACACCAAAAAACTATCTACCCATGATAAACTGATGAGAAATATAGTGACAAAGATATATAGATACAGCTTACGATAGAAGTAGAGATGTTGGAAATTAGCGAATATGACAAGGACGAAATTAAGGTTTTTATCTAATTGTTTGTGTGCCAAATCGATGTCTATTGAGTTATAATTGCAGCACTAAATCTGAAACAGACCGTTAGTGCAGCGAACTTACTGTAAGTCTAAACATAAAGCCAGGTGCTACGCACCATCTTACTAAGAGTAGTTAAAATTTGGCCACAGTCAAGCTTTGCGTCTTAAGAATCATGATTAAGACCCATACTATTTGTGATGGAGTTTTGTTCCCTGAGCTGGATGGTCTGGTCGTGGAGCTCTCGTCGTCCTTCTGAACGACAACAAAACTACCTGAAGTTTGTGCTGATGATGTCACTCAGAAGAACGGTGAAAGCTCCACGACCAAGCCATCCAGCTCAGAGAATAAAACTCCATCAAAATCATCGACCTGAGCTACAAATCTCCACCATCCCATACTACGTGTATATCCATCAGTGGGGTTTCCAAAAGACAGGACTTCGGCAGTTTCAGAAGTCGATTAAAAACAAAGCTTGGGATAAACCAGTGGGTTTCGAATAAATTTAAAAGTTGGGTAATTATAGAAATAATCCAGTGATCTATTGAGAATACAGAACACTTATATTGTCTTACATCTTCCTACACCTATTAACTTTATGACAGCCTTTAGGTAGCAAATCCATATGATAAAATACACATCCACCTACTGAAATGATAGGGAGTCATTAAAGAGACTCAGGCGATCATAATCAACGTAGAGCCTGATACGAATATACCTCAGCCCAAGTAGCCAAGCTATGCCAACAAGATTAAATGTCCTTCAGGCACAAAAGTGCCCCAAGTGGAACAGAAATCTTGTTTACAACCAGTGTTATGCCAGTTCAGGATCATGTTAAATCACCGCATGGAGGTTAAAAGCATGGGATAATGATATACTAACACAGAAACTACTGGCGTGCTATCCCAATGTTTTGCCACTTGCCTTGCTCATTGCAAAGTGCTTTTCAAATCTTCACGAAGATTGCAAAAACTACATTTAGTTTGGGTTCATCCATTCAGAAAAATTGTAGATACAAGTGAAAGCGAAGAGACACGCACTTATATTAAAAAGACGAAATATATCAGGGTTTGAGCACTTTTAAGTAAGTTATTACACGAACGTAAAGATATTCCAGCACAGAGAATTGTATACAAATATATATATGCATAGAGTCTGAGTGAATGTGTTGCTTCTACCTCTACATGTACGTGGTAGATTATTACAGATATGGATGCTAATATTTTGAACGATAAAAGTCTAATCAAAGTGAAAATGAGCATAAAATACACCAAAACAACCCACCGGCCAGTTTCTCATTTGCTACGGCTAAATGAAGGTCACAATGTTGTCGTTCGGCGCCTTTAGGTGTTTTTCAAATAGTTCAAATGGTCCTGAACGAAATAGAAGAAGCTTTCACCTAATGAGCTGCCGTATCTAGTAGCAGTTGTTCACCGATACGTCCATGTAGGAACCTACGTATATTTAATGATACAAATTTCTTCTCACCCCAACAGCATGGTTTCAGGAAGGACTACTCTTGTATAAGAAACCTGCTGACTGCGGTGGACATATGGACAAGCATCCTCGATCGCAAGGGAAAGGTTGACATCATCTACCTAGATTTCTCAAAAGCTCTTGATAAGGCTGTTCATATATGTCTTATCAATAAGCTCAAACGACTAGGTATCAGACGGTCTCCAATCGATTGGTTTACTTTCGAACGGGAAGTCTAGTCCTAACGTGATTTGCATTTATCAAACTTTTGCTGTGTTCTTACGCAACAAAAGTACCATTTCTGTCCAAAAGAATCTATCCTGAGCTAAACGTTTGGTAGATTACTTTTTTTTAGTTTCACCCAAATTAATAGTTAACTGTGGTTTTGCCTCAGCTTACTATTCCGTTTTTTTCACTTTTTCACGTAAAGACTAGTTCAGTTTATCTCATCCGTTTTATCCATTTTTGTGTGTGTTTTTTAGTGTATTTTTTAGGGTCTTAGGCTTTTGCTAGCATCTACAACACAGTTTACGTCAATACAGTCATGAAAAATTCATGCAAACGACTTGGATGCCGTTTTGCTGTCACATCTGGCATGCAGTGCGACAACTGCAACGGTTGGTTCCACGAAGCGTGCACAGATTCCCTAGCAACTGCTTACAACAGACTCAGCAAGTCGGATCATAAGTGAGAATGTGTTACGTGCAGCACGGATGCTGCAGTCTTGCTGAGTAATATCATTGTCCTGCTGACAGGTCTGCAGAGTAAGTTGTCTGCAAAGACAGTCAAAAAATGGGTAGACAAACAAGAGAGCGCATTGAAAACAAGAATAGAGATGTCAACAGGTCTACCGACGACGGAGCATGCAACAGCATTAACGATGACACGCTGAAACTCAGCACCATGATTACGACGACGGTACTCGACTCCATCAGCAAACTTGGGTCTCACAGCTCAAGGTCCTTGAACGCGACAGTGGTTCCCAAAAAATCTGTAGATGATTGGACCCATGTCAAAAGAGCTAAAAAGGTCCAGGCGTCACAGTCTAAGTTGAACATCCCAGCTGTTGAACGGAAGTCAACTGGTGATATGGTCGCACAGTCTACCCCCAAGATTGCCCGTCCGGTCATCAAAGAGCAAAGGATTCATAAACGTGCCTCGACCCCCAGACAACAAGGTGCTAAAACTGAACGCACTGGAAAACCTGGGACGACAATAACGGTTCGTGATCACTCTCTCATAGTCATGAACTTCAAAGACAATCCTGACCTTCCTCTCAGTTTGCAGGAAAAAATGATAGGATGCTCTGGGGAGAATTGAACAAGAAACTTGAACTTCCAAGAATAGAGCCTTTGACAGTCACACGGCTCACCCGGGGAAAGGAATCTAAGCATCAAAGTCACCCGAGTCTACTTCGTGTAACACTTAAGAATGCTACTGACGTAGAGGATGTCTTACTAGCGAGTCATTTACTGAAATCAGATGGGAATGTAAGAATACTACCTGACATACCGTATTCTGAGCGCAATCTCATCCGGAAAATCCTCAAAGAATCTCGCGATCAGTTTTTCTGCGGGAGGAATATAATCGTGCAAGGTATACCGGAAAATACGGACCCTACTCAATCAAAAACTGACATCAGGGAATGGAAATTCATCAAACAGTCCTTGAGGCTCAAACACATACTGACTCAGCATGTGACGAGACTATCCAGGAAGGATGGTGATTCTAGACCCCGTCTAATGAAGATAACCTTCCCATCTTCCCATATGGCGGCTGCAACTCTGGGAGCATTTCGTGCCAACAGACGTTGACTGCCACCTGGAATCCACATGCACCCGGATAGGCCAAACGAAACTAGGACCAAACACAAAGGCAAGTTGGAGTTGATCATTCCACTTGTGGACTGTCTAGACGATAAAAAAACGTGTAAAGGACAGGGCCTACCACCTCGGCAAACCTCATATAGGTGGGCTACCTGTTCATTCACGTAAGGCTCATGCAGACAAACAGGAAGAAGCTCATGCGTTTCAGATTAAAAGCATAAACTGCTTATATATGAACGCCGCGAGTCTACCAAACAAACTGGATGAACTACGTGAACTTAGCAATGCTAATAAGGCCCATATGATATGAATATCTGAAACTTCGATATCTTCTCAGTTCTCGGACCATGAGTTAGCATTACTTGAGATGTCTTTGTTCCGCAACCACAGAAAATCAGGAATTGGGGGCGGAGTAGCCGTTTACATACGTTCTTCCTTGGAGGTGCACCAATTCCATAACCTCGAGTTTAAAAATCTTGAGGAATCCATATAGCGCTCTGTAAGATTGTCTAGTACTTCGAGGTGACTAGTCGGAGTCATTTACAGGAGGCTAACTGCCGACATCGAGTACGATAGTCGTACGCTGGAAGGACTATCCCGCTCTACTCGTCTCGGTTTCACACACATCCTGATTCTGGGGGACTTTAATCTCCCTAGAGTCAACTTCGCGGAACACACGTATACTGGAGGCGACAACTCAATTGAAGCTCGGTTCTTCAACCTCATCGATAACTTGGGATTGTTCGAAAATGTGAGGTCGGCAACTCGTTGGAGAAACAGTCAGACACCATAGCGCTAAAACTGTGTATTCACAAACGAAGAATTTCTAGTTGACAACCCCTCAATCCTGGCTCCCCTGAGAAAAAGCGATCATGCCGTCATAGCCTTCGGTTTTGTCAGCAAAACTAAGGTAAGATACCCCACCAATAACTTGCGTTGGAATTTTAAACGGTCAAATGTGCCAGCTCTACACGACTATCTACAACAGGTGGTTTGGGATGTTCACCCCCAACTCGACGTGGACGGTCATTGGGACTTCTTACTACACACGCTCTTACGTGCTACAAACCATTCAGTACCTCAAACAGTTCTCAAAAGCTGCAAGCCACCTACAATGATAAAGAACCGTACCCTTCGCCTGCTAAGCCGCAAAACGCACTGTTGGGAGGAATACAAACGAACTGACAACGACGGAGCGTACAGGCAATATAAAAATATCAGGAACATATGCACGAAGGCTATAAGAGAAGACGGGCTTCAGTACCAGACAAAGCTTATGGACAAATTTGCCTCTAACCCTAGAAGCCTATTCCGTTATGCAGCCTCTCTTCGTCAAGCCAAAACAGGAGTTTCTCAACTGCTAGGTCTTAACGGCCCGACCAACAACGATGGCGACGCCGCTAACCTTCTGGCGGCACATTACTCTCAAACATTTCAACCGGCTGACATTAACTTTACTGATGACAGTTTCATCTGCAGTTCCACAGGACTTTCTGAAGTGGACCTAAGCGCTGACTTGGTGTTCCGGAAATTGCAGCACTTAAGACTAGATACTTCTCCTGGCCCGGATACGGTTCATCCTGCCATACTGAGGGAGGCAGCCTCAATCCTGGCAACGCCGCTTAGCGTGATGTTCTCACACTCGCTAAGCCGAGGCAAATTACCGGAAAATTGGAAGTTGGCTCACATCACACCAGTTTTCAAAGGAGGTCGACGCAATGAACCTTCAAGTTATCGGCCGGTGACTCTTCTGTCATTACCTTCAAAACTCATGGAGTCCCTGATATGCGACGGTTTTAATGACTATCTACTGTCCTTAAATTTCTTCTCACCCCAACAGCATGGTTTCAGGAAGGGTTACTCGTGTATAACCAACCTGCTGACTGCGGTGGACAGATGAACAAGCATCCTCGATTGCAAGGGAAAGGTTGATGTCATTTACCTTGATTTCTCAAAAGCTTTTGATAAGGTTAACCACTTGTGTCTTATCAATAAGCTCAAACGACTAGGTATCAAACCACCTCAAATCGATTGGCTCACTTCATACCTGAAAAATCGACACTTAAAGGTCAGGGTTAATTTCACTTTATCTCAGGCTATGGAATGTCCTAGTGGGGTCCCCCAGGGCTCAGTACTAGGACCTCTTCTCTTCTTGATCTACATAAATGATCTTCCTCAACAGGTAACGTCAGGCTTATTACTTTTTGCCGACAACATCAAACTTTGGAGAGAGATACGCAACCAAGACGGTATACAGGCACTTCAGGAGGATCTGACTCGACTTCAAAGTTGGGCAGACGATAACTGACTTACCTTTAATACTTCAAAGTGTAAAGTAGTCCATCTGCGAAATGTTGCAGACTACAGTTACAACTTAGGTACCTCTTCTCCAGTAGTATCCCAAGTCGAAAAAGATTTAGGAGTCCTGGTGCCCTACGATTTAAAGTCTTACGCTAACTGTGACAAAAATGCCTTCCGAGTAAACCTTGCACTGGTAACATTGAAGCGCATTTTTGGCCAGTTTGACGGAAGAACTTTCCATATAATCTTTAATAGTTTTATCCGTCCCCATTTAGAGTACGTAAACAGTATTTCCCCCCTCATTCCAAAAGGATAAGAACACCTTGAAGCGTATCCAACGGCGAGCCACGAAATCAGTTCGAGAACTCAAATGTAAATCTTATGGAGAGCGCCTCCATTCACTAGACCTTTACCCATTAGAGTATAGGCGTCTTAGAGGTGACCTTCTGATGGCTTACAGTATCCTTAACACTTCTGGACATCCTCTCAAACACCTACTTAAGCTTAGTTCCAACACTAACCTAACAGGTAACACCCAGAAACTGGAGGCACAACATAGCAAAACGGAATGTAGACATTACTTCTATTCCTTAAGAGTTGTCAAATGCTGGAACTCGCTGCCGAGACAGCTAGTCCAAGCGACTTTTCAGGAGTCCTTCAAGAGGCAACTTGACCTATTCTTAAGGACCAAGGACAGCATCATACTATGATTTACCAATTTCTTTTTCCTCTTCTATTGTTAACACA